ACACTTGTACCCCATGTTACATCAATTACCACTGTACCCATGTATTACACTACCACTGTATACCTTGTACTTCAATCACGGTACCCATGTACTACACTACCTCTGTACCCATGTACATCTTTACCAATCTCCTGTACCATGTACTTCGCTACCAATGATCTGTACCCATGTTATTCCACTACCACTGTACCCATGTATTTCACTCCTCTTTACCCATGTCTTCACTTACACTGTACCCATGTACTTCACTTACCACCTGTTACCATGTTCTTCACTACTACTGTAACCCATGTACTACATACCCTGATCTGTACCCATGTGTACTTCACTTCTACTGTACCCATGTACTGTCACTACCACTGTACCATGTACTTCACTACCACTGATCTGTACCATGTACTTCACTACCACTGATCTCATGTACCATGTAACTTCACTCACACTGTACCCATGTATTCCATACCACTGTTACCCATGTACTTCCACTTACACATGATCTGTACCAATGTACTTCATACCAATGTACCATGTTATTCACTACCATGATCTGTACCATATGTACTTTCACTACCACTGATCGGTAACCCATGTAATTACTCTACCACTGTACCCATGTACTTCACTACCACTGATCTGTACCATGTACTTCACTACCATTGATCTGTACCATGTACCATGTACTCTGGTGGCCTGGTGGTTAACGCTCTCGCTTCACACGGTGAGGGCCTGGGTTCGATTCCCAGCCAAGTAGAAACATTGGACGTGTTTCTTTCCACTGTTGTCTATGTTCCCCATCAGTAAAATGGGTACCTGGGTGTTAGTCGACTGGTGTGGGTCGCATCCTGGGACACTGACCTAAGGAGGCCTGGTCACAGACGGGCCGCGGGGCGGGTTGTCCCCCGGAACTCTCTCCAGATAAAAAACTCCAGATAAAACACTGAATCTGTACCATTGTACTTCACTACCACTGTACCCATGTACTTCACTACCACCTGATCTGTACAGTACTTCAATACACTGATCTGTACCATGTACTTCACTAACACTGATCTGTTCCCCATTGTACTTCACTACCACTGTACCATGTACTTCACTACCACTGATCCTGTCCATGAACGTCATACCACTGACTGATCTGGTACCAATGTTCTCCACTACCAATGATCTGTACCATGTGACTACACTAACAAAACTGTAACCCATGTACTTCACTACACTGTACCCATGTATTCACTACCACTGATCTGTACCCATGTACTTTCACTACCACTGAATCTGTTCCATGTACTACACTATCTACTGTTTACCCATTACTTCCACTACCACTGATCGGTAACCATGTACTACACTACCATGATCTGTACCCATGTTCCCCCCCTTTACTTCAACTACCACGGATCTGTACCCATGTACTTCACTACCACTGATCTGAAACCCGGTACTTACACTTCCACTGTACCCATGTACTTCACTACCACCCTCTGATCGGTAAAACCCATGTACTACAACTACCACTGATTGTTACCCATTGATTACTCACTTACCACTGATCGGTAACCATGTACTTCAATACCACTGATCTGTACCATGTACTTCAATACCACTGTTCTGTACCATGTACTACTTATACCACTGATCTGTACATGTACTACACTACCCACTGATCTGTACCCATGTTACTACACTACCACTGATCTGTACCCATGTATACATACAAACTGATCTGTAACCATGTACTACACTACCACTGATCTGTACCAATGTAGCACTACATGATCTGTACCATGTATACCTACCACTGATCTGTACCATTGTACTTCACTTCACAATGATCTGTACCATGCTACTACAACTACCACTGATCTGTACATGTACTACACAACTACACACTGAATCTGTACCATGTACTACATACATCTGATCTGTACCATGTACTACACTTACACTGATCTGTACCATGTACTTAAACTACCATGAGCTGTACCAGTACTTCACTAACCACTGATCTGTAATACCCATGTACTTCACTACCATATCTGTACCATGTACTTCACTACCATGATCTGTACCCATATGTACTACACTACACTGATTGTACCATGTACTTCACTACCACTGATCTGTACCATTGTACTTTCATATCCACTGATCGTACCATGTACTTCTCTACCTCTGATCTGTTCTACCATGTACTTCCACCCTGATCTGTTACCATGTAACTTCACTTCCACTGTAATCTGTTCCCAGGTACTACTACACTGATCTGTTACCATGTACTTTCACTACCACTGATCTGACCATGTACTACACAACCACTGATCTGTAACATGTACTTACACTACCACTGATCTGTACCATGTATACTTACACTGTTCTGTACCATGTACTACACTTCCCACTGATCTGTACCATGTACTCACTTCCACTGATCTGTAACCATGTACTTCACTACCATTGATCTGTACCATGTATACCTAACACTGAACTGTAACATGTGCTA